ACAAACAGAATGCCAAAACCAGTAAAACAGCCTGAGAAAAGGATTTATGATTAGAGACACAGGGAATGAATGTTTTTAATTAAGCACAAAGGTTGAGAGGGCTCTTGAGCACAGGTCTAGCCCAGAAAAACCATCCTATGAAAGGACTCTTGCAGCCAGAGGAAAGAGGCTCAGCTGGAGCCAAGGGCTGGAAGCTGAAGCCAACAAATTCAAATGGGAATAAGGGAGGTGCCCCCAGCCATGGGATTCATTGGCCACCAAATCTATGTGAAAGGACTTTATGCTCTGGAAGTTCTTGAGTAAAGACCTATTGTTTTTGTGAGGGAAGAGCTTTAGGTGAACAGAAGGCACCCTCAAGTTGAGAAGTTTCTGGGCTCTCTACACAAAGTGTGTGAAACATTGGGCTGTGACACGCACAGAGAGATCACAGGCACCAGCCTGACCCACGGACTGCTGGTGCTATGGCCCAGGTTCATCCTTTTGGGGCTAACACCTCACCGGGGTCCCTTCTGCAGCTGGTGGGAAGGGACAGCCCTGCCCAAACTGCAGCTCCTCCTGCAGAAGATGTCCATTGTCCTGTGGCACCACCCCATCTCTGCGGGCAGTAGAGGCTGGGAATATGTTGGAATATTTGGGAATATGTTGGAAACTCTGTGGAGTGACTGAAATCCCCCAAATCTCAGTGATTTCTGACTTCAGTCCCTCCCTGTTTGCTACAGGACCCTACCCTTCCTCAAGGATCCTGGACAGTTGAAACACGGAAGGACACAATGAGACCTTTGAGGTTTTCTTTCAGCATGAGGAGAGGGCTACCAGGGGAGTCTCATGGAGTCAATGTCAGCCCATGCCAGAGCAAGCCCAGCCACCCAGCGCCCCGAGCCCTGCTGAAGCAGGACTCTGAGCCATGCCCTGGCCACCACGAAGACAAGAATTAGACCACGTTCAAAATTAATATATATTTTTATTGAATAATTGCTCTAAGTGGGCTTGTGAAGCCACCCATAGAATTACTTCTTTCATCTCAGCAGTGGTTCAGTAACAGTTATTAGCTTTGCAAGAGAAGAAAACCGAACAGAAGAGGGTGCATTAAAATAAATAGGTTATTTTTTTTCTTATCTTTAAAATAAACTTTTCAAATAAATACTTTTTTTTTTTTTTTTTATTTTTTTTCCCTTAAAGGTACAAGAGTATTGTCAAAAAACAGCCATCAGGTTATAAACATATATTATACCTTATAGAAAGGAACCCAAATAAAGACAGCCGGGGGAGGGATCTCTTTATACACTGTACAGAATGCCTTTGTACCAATTAAATGAGAATTAGAGGCTTCGGTTCTTGGTATGAGACTCTCCTTTGAAGCCAAGGGTGATCCGTCTTCGAAGGAGAACTTTGTGCTGAGGACACCCGGGGAGGCAGGAGGCTGGGTGGCCACTGCTGGTCCACAGAGCATCTCCATGGCCTGAGGGAACCGCTGGGAAAGGATGGGGAGAGGGGAGAGGGAATGGAAGGGAGAAAGGGAGAGGGGCTCTGATGGGGAAGAGCGGTGGCATGGGCAAGGCAGGACTGGCCGTGACAGCTCCAGGATGACCACAGACCTCTCGGCTGATGCTGCCATTGGGACAGAGGGTGTGAGGAACCTCCTCTCCCAATGCCCAGCCCAGCTCACCTGGGTGGGTTTGGTCCTGCTCCTGCTGAAGCCCTTTGGGGTGCTGCAGGAAGGTGCAGCAGGAGAGACACCCAGCGAGAGACCTTGCATTGTTTCCCCTCACCTGGCCCTTATAAGTCCCCTCTACCCCGTGCAGACGTGCCATCTCCTCCCACCCATCCCACATCCCTCCTGCCTGGGGACCGCTCAGCACCCCTGGCTCATGCCCTCAGAGGGTTCTTATCCAACATCACCCAACGCAGGACATCAGATCTCACCCACTCAAGCACCCAACCTGCACTCCGGGAGAAGGAGTTTGCAAGAGAACCTGATGCTCACTGAGAAATACCCCAAAGGAAACTGAGCCCAGAGATCCCAGCTCCGGTTTGGCCCACATGGACCAGATGCCGACCAGCAGCCTCCAGCTCCTGCAAGCTTCCCGCGGGTCTGGGCTCCGCAGGCTCCCTGAAGGAGACAAATCCGAACCGGATCCTATTAAAGACCAAGAATGGGCTTTGGGGTGGAAGGAACATCCTTGATCTACTTTCCTCACTTGCTGATCACAAAAAGTTAGACTTTCCAATATCTGAAGACCTTCCAGCTTCCTCCAGCCTCAAAACACCCAAGGGCCAGAGATGGAGAGCAAACTAACAAAGTTGGTGCTGGAAACCGCAAGTTTGGGGCTCCTTCCCCGTGCAGTCCAGCCACGCAAACCTTGCAGCAGCTCCTCTCACCCCTCTTCCTCTCATCCCTCTTTATTGCACTAAAGCAGCCATTCATGAACTTTTGTGCTTTGGCATCTTTTGGTCGGTGACACTCGCCCACCAGCTTTTGGGTTCAAACACGGGGATGGGGAAGAGCCAACACTGATGGGATTTTATGGGAATCTGAGAGCAGAGTCTCAAGAAAGCTTCCTCCCTCTTCTTTGAGGTACTTGGCTGGCACTGGTGTTTCTCAGGGATGGATGGACAGCAGCCCAAGGCAACTTCTGCCCTTCCACCAGGAGAGTTGGGGAGCTGGGATGGGAGGAAGGCTCCACCTCGGTCCCCAGTGACCCCTCCTCACCAGTACTGGGACTGATCACACGTTTCCCAGCAGGGAAGAAGGAGAGCGAGATTGAGGAAAGCCCTGGAGAAAGCAAGCAAGCACCAGCAGGAGGTCTTGTGATGGAGCTTTGGAGTTCTGGGTGGGAAAAGGAGGCTCCTGCACAGAGAGCAGAGCAGGGGGAGCTCAGATCCTGCTCCTGCCTTGTGCTCCTTTGGTGCCATGAGTCTCTCTTTCCCTACCTAAATCTGCCCTGGAGCCCTGCACCTTTCCTGGCAGAGGAGCCCACGACTGGCAGAGACACACAACCAGGAGAAACAGTCCCTCATGAAGCAGGTCCATCCTTGTCAAACCACGGGAAAACAGAGGACTCAGCATGTGACTCTCCCAAAAGAAAACCAGAAAAAGACACGTCAGGACAGAGAGAAACCCAAACTGCCAGGACAAGCAGCTGCCAACAAACATCTGGAGCAGATGTTATCTGAGTCATTCCAGGGTGGGGCAGGAAAGGGGTTCACAACCCCAACCAAACCAAGCTCTCTGGCAGCCAGAGATGGGGAAGGAGCAGGATGGATCTGGTCTGAAGATGTCAGGAAAAGCTTGGGGGGAAAATAACAAACACGATCAGAGGTTGGGCACAGCCTTCCCTACACCAGACGAGCTCAGGGAACCAGAGCTGCCCTCCTTGGAGAGCTTCTGGCAAATCCCAACCTGCCCTTTCTGCTGAGAGCAAGGAATGGGAGCTCACTGAGGCCCCCCAAGATGGATGGAAAGCAGTAGCCCCACATGAAGCCACCTGCCCCAATGAGCAGGGTAGGGGTCAGCAGCTCTAGACTTCTCTAAGCCCACGCAGCTGCCAGGCCTGGATGTGGCTTCGCATCTTTTCAGGGAGGGGAGCCATAGGATGAAGGGTCATGGCTTCAAACTGAAAGAGGGGGGGTTGACATGAGATCTGGGGAAGAACTTCTTTGCTGTGAGGGTGGTGTGAGCCTGGCCCAGGTTGCCCAGAGAAGCTGTGGCTGCCCCATCCCCGGAGGGGTTCAAGGCCAGGTTGGAGGGGGCTTGGAGCAACCTGGTCTGGTGGGAGGTGTCCCTGCCCAGGGCAGGGGGTGGCACTGGGGGGGCTTTAAGGTCCCTTCCCACCCAAACCATTCTATGATTCTACGATCTTGCCCTCAACATGGTCAAAACGAAGCCCCACGTTGGTCTGACAGCCCTCGGGGCCCACCTGGGGCTCTCCTCCTCTCCAGTCCCTTCTACACATCCCTTAGGTCACAAAATATACCTCATGGGTTGGTCATTTCTTGGAGATGAGATGTTCCAAGAGACCTGGCCAGACTCCCCAGCCCTGGACCCAGGGCTGTGGCACTATTCCCTGATAAAAATGGGGTTTCTGCACTGGCCCAGAAAATTCTCATCAGGTAGAAGGCTACTGGCGGGCGTCCTGGCCTCCCACCAGCCACCAGGAGGTAAATACGCTGCAGTAGTAGCCCTGGGCTCCTCCTCACCCTGCCAGCGCCAAGGAAAACCAGCTCTGGGGAGCTGGTGTATGGACAGAAGTCTTCTCCTCCCACAGCTCCAGCACCTGGGGGAGGTCACCCCTGTGCTCGCATGACTTCGGAGGCCGTGAAAATGATGAAGCTTCACATGTTGAGTCATTCCACCATCAGGAGAGGAAGCAATGAATTGCAAAGATACAGAGGTGGTAACTAAATTTACAAGTGGGATCCGTTTAAAAAGGAGGAGAGAAAAAAAATAAAAATCAAAGTAGAGCAAGTTGGAAAATTCTGTTCATTAGTTTTCTTTAAAAAGTTTCAATGAACTATTTCACATTCTCATTCAAGTGAGACAGTTCCTCATAACCTCAGTGAGAAGGGACCTCTTTTTCCCTAAAAAAGCTTTACCTTTTTTTAGGAAGAAGGGGTTTTAACCAGCACCAGTAGAAAAGGGAGCTGAGCGTTGGAAAGGAAGGGTGCCTCTTGGTGGAAGTCTCTCCCCCAGACATTGCTTGGAAGGAGGGAGACAAGCAATTATCAGCGTACAGGTAAATACGTTTGCAATATATTTTAAAACTGCTGCCACAGAGACACGGGCTGATCTTGTGGGGGTGCACACACCCACAGGGCATCCTCCAGAAGGTTGCCTTAAAATCCAAACGATTTCAGAGTCCAGGGCTGGCCTCGGGAAGTGCCAAGTGCACAGTTGTGTCCCTACCCCTTCCTAATGCCAGGAGATGCTCCCCGTAACCCCATCCCAAATTCCCCGCAGCTCCTGGGACTGGGCTCTCCATCTCTGGACAGAGGAATGGGTGAAATCAAGGGTGAGGATCTCGGTCGTGTCCGTAACACGCCCCCGGCACAAACTTTGCCCCGGGGATGGGATTCATCCCCCCCTTCAATGTTTGGGTCCCATCTGGGTCAGGGGAGACAGGCGCTGCCAGAACATAATTTAATGAATAATGTTGTCAAGCGGGATGAATCACTCCCTGGAACCGCTTTTCTCTGCAACAGAGGGAGCTTGGAGCAGCCGCGAGTTTTCGGCAGCGAATGTACAGAAAGAGGAATCCCAGCGTGAGAGTCTGCCTCCTGCCTCACCCTGCAGCCCTCAATCCTACCCTACCCCCTCTCTGCAAAGCCAAACCCCCCCCTTGCCCCCAGCACAGTCCCTAAAACCTCCCTCTCCCCCTCTCCCGACCACCCGGGAACTAAAGGTCTAGGGTTAGCAACAAACAGGATGGGGAAACCATCTTCCAGCATGTGCAAGTACACCAGGCAGCCAAACCTCGCATCTGGCACCATTCACAGCAGTATCATGAATATTATTAGTAATAGACCTAAGCCATCCTAACGTTATATTTATATATACAAAAATAGATCCACAGAACTCTACGCAAAGAGGTGGCTGAGGGAAGGCGATGGACGAGCCCTGGATGGCAGGGTCTTGGAGGAAGCCAAGGGACACGTTGCATATATTTCTCCAGGGGAACCATTCACTTCCCTCTGCTCTCACGCACCTCGGGAAAAGGGACAGGGGGACAGAGCCCAGCACTGGGACATCATTCTGGCTCCAAACTGCCCCCGACCCATCAGTAGGGTCCCAACGGGTCTGCAAGCAGAGATGGGGCTGAGCCCAGGACCAGGAGGAGCTCCCCCCAACTGCAGCGACAGGTTGGGCTTATTATCACCCCAGCAAGGCAACCATGAAGCCCTGACCCCAAGAGAGGTTTCCTTCTGGTCTGCAGATGGCCCAGCCCCAGGGCTTGGTCCAGCCCCATCTCTGGTTTGCCACAGGCAGACGCCGCTGTGGGATTAATTCCCTTCAGCAGTGCCAGCAGGAAAACCCTGGTGACGCTGGTGTTGGTGTGACACGCCGGTGGGGCCAAGGAAAGCCAGGTGAGGACCCAAAGGCAACTTCTGCAGGGGAAGAAGGTGGGGCTCCCATCTCTCAATGCCCCCTTCTGCTCCCCGTTTCCCTCCAGCCCAAGGCAGGAGCTGCAGAAGACCCTGTGGGGGAGTCCCCCAGGGTGGGTGCTAAGAGCAGTGCGGTGCGAGTTGGCAGATGTCGACAGTCGGGTTTGGGGTGTGTTTTTTAAAGTGAATTCAGTGCTGGTGGAAGGTACCAGATTCTCGGGGCTCGAGCACGGAGCCGGTGCCCTGTGGCATCTGCTCGGTGGTGGGATGGAGCTGGGGCGGCAGCTCCCATCCCGCCGGGGTTTGCGCTCCGGAGGCAGCCCTTCAAGTGCATTGAGAAATGAATGGCAATTTCAAAACCAGCTTCTTGTTCTCAGCCAAATCCCAGAGGGGACCTTTCCCTCGCTGCAGTCGGGCAGAAGCGAGTGGGCTGGGCTGCCTCCGAGAGCTCCTTCCCCTGCCAGAAGGTTTCTAAAGCTTCCCACACCTTCCCTTCCTCTTCAAGACAGAAAAATACGATGCCACCTCATTTTGGAGCTCGCTGGCTTCTCCCAGTGGCTCCCAAGCCCAGAGGGAAGCCACGGCCACCGGTGGGACCCCACGGCACCCCAGCCCCATGGGGAAAGCAGACCTACAGCCGGGTGAGAGGAGGGAGGTCACCCATGAAAAGTGCTGGAGAGGGAGAAAGAGGGAGAGAAGGGGGTCTGGTTCCTGGAGGGCTCTTGCACAGGGGATGCGTTGACGACCTGCTTCTTCCCCCCATGGGGAAGGACCACACCACGGGGCAGCAGCAGCTCCAGAGACCCTCTGAGAGAAGAGTCCTGAGGAGCCCCCCGGGCACGGCCTGGGAGGGCACCCACAGCTCTCTCTGCCTCTCCCTGTCCCTCACCCGAGCGTGCAAAACCATTTCCCACCAGCTCCCATGGCCACCCAGAGGCTGGGGGACCCCCAGTTCACCCGTCTCCTTCCCAGGAGGTGATGGTGGGCAGGGGAGGAGCGCTGCAGAGCGGAGGGAGCCGCAGGAGAAAGGGGAGGGAAGGGAAAGGAGGGGTGGGAGGAGGAGGAGGAAGAGGAGTAAAGCCTGCTTCTCCTCCCCGGGAGGGTCATACCGGCTTATCCAGCGTCTTGGGGAAAGGGGTGCCGCTGGAGGAGGAGATCTTCCTGCAGACCGTGTTGGTGTGGCTCTGGCAGCGGCAGCCGGGCCGTTTCAGGCCGTCGTAACCCCGCTGGCAAAGTTTGAGGCACCCCAAGGTGGGAAAGTAGCAGCAGAGGCAGGGCATGAGGAGGGAGAGGAAGCTCATGGCGGCCCAGCGGGCGCAGCAGGACCCCGGCCCGCAGGAGCAGGGGTCGTCGGCGCAGGTGTCCTCGTCGTCGGTGGAGCAGTGGTAGAAGAGCCCCTTGACGCAGCAGAGGCAGGTCCCGTAGTCGAGGAGGCTCTCTGGGGAGCAGAGGCAGCGCTGGTTGCAGAGCCAGCAGGAGGGCAGGCTGCGGGCGGCCGTGCAGCGGGGGCACTTGCAGCGCCCGCACTCCTCGCAGACGAAGAGGTGGCCGGGGTGCAGGGCGGGCTTCTCCCCAGGGCCTTTCAGCGGCGACTCCTCCGCCTTCAGCTCGCCGGCCCGGGGCTGCTGTGTCCGGATGAGGGAATGGCCGGAGTGGGAGGGGGTGAGGCTGCTGAGGAGCCGCTGGTCGGAGGCGGTGGTGCTCTGGGAGACGGAACTGGCCGTGCTGGAATGGCTGAGGTGCTGCTGCAGCGGTGGCATGGGGTGCTGCTGGCTGTGGCTGCGGTGCAGGTCCTGGAAGGTGGAAGACGCCAGGCGGTCCTGGGACCACTCTTGCTTGTGGGGCGGCTGGGAGAGGGAGGGGTTGGAGCGGGTTTGCTGGAAGCAGGCGGCCGGTCTCTCCACGTAGTTGTTGCTGGCGCGGATGGAGCGGATTTGGTCAATGGACAGGACCTGCTGGAAGTCCTCGGCGGGGGGGTCCATCGTCTCGTCGCAACTGAGTTCAGCCACGCTGGAAGAGAGCTGCATTTCCAGGCGCGAGGAGACCCTGCGGCATCAGGGCACATCTAAAAATCCTAAAGGATGGGGCAGGAAGGCAGAGAACTGTGTTACGTTTTGTAATGGACCCATCCACGCAAACCAGGAAGCAAAGGCCGGTTGGAGAACTCCTGGTGAAGTTATTTCCCACAACCAGACTTAGAGCACTTGTGTGTCTGGGGAGACTGAGGCTGGACACATCCAAAGGGCGAGTGCTGTGAGATCTGTCCCTTGAAACCGGGCGACACGGCATCTCCCCATGCTTTTTGGGCTTCCCATGTCCTTCAGAGGATTTCCCACCCCTTCCCAGCCCTGATGGACCCTGTCTCTCCTCCCTCTCCTTCCCTGGGGGCAAGTCCTGGCCCTCTCTAGAGGAGAGGAAACTTGAAGCTTATCTGGAGCCAGTGCTGGAGCTGGGAATGGCACCTCCAGAGCAGGACACTGGTTTGGGTCTTCCCAGCACACCCCAGCAGCCTCCCGGTGCCGTACCCTGTACACACCAGGCTCCCGGGGACGGAGGAGACCCGAACACGTTGACTTTCAGGCAGCACCAGCAACAAATTGCGACTAACGAGACCCACACTTGGCCAGGGACAGGCCAAACCCACAGACCCCCCCCAAATCCTGGTGGTTCCCACTGCAGCATCCCCTTTTCCCACACGCAGCCCCATGCCAGCCCAGGAACTGATTTCCCCCCCGTCACCGACACGGAGACGAGCAGGTTTCTCGTTAGCCCCGGCACAAACCCCGGGCGAAGCAGGACAAGCAGCCAACAAGGCTCCGTGCACGGGGCTGCCACGCTGCTGGCTCTCATTTTGGGGAACTCAGCACTTCCCCAGTCCACGGCGCTGGGACCAGCACTGGCTCTATCCAGAGGGAAGGTTGGGACCATCCCAGGGCTGTCAGACGGGGCAGGAAGGACCCTCCCATGTCCCACAACACCCTCCCAGGTGGGATTGACCTCACAGCATCAAAACCAGACACTGTTTGTGTTTGGGTAAAACCTCTGTGGGGCTGGGTGAGGAGGGGGGCGGCGGGGATGCAACGGAGCCGGGTTTTGGCCCTTAGGAGGGAGAGAGAGAGAAAATCCCCACTTCTGCTGCCTGCAGAGGAGCGTGCAGAGGACGGAAGCCACTCGTTGCATGCCAGAGCCCAGCGCAGAGCTTTGCCCCAGCTCTTCCAGCCCCAGATTTCAGTATGGGGTCCGTGCTATCCATGCACAGCCAGCTTCCCCGGGACAAAGCCAGTCCCCTCGGGCAGCCCAGAGGAGCCATCCCTCGGTGACACAGACCTTGTCACGGTGCCCAGACCCGCAGGAAGAGCCCGTTTCCATAGGAAGCTCCCCGCCGGCTGCGCAGATGGCCAGCAGACCAGGCGGCCGGTGGCCAGTGGAGGCTTTCAAATAGGTGAGGGGCCACAGGTAGAATGTGCTCATGCAGCAGAGAGAGGCAGAGGGAAGATTGATTTTCATTAGCTAGGCTGACCTTGAAGAGCAGGGAAAAGCAAAGGCAACTTACTTTGACTGTTCAAGCAAGATCTGGCCTCTCCCATCCCCCTCCCCGGAAAGAAAAGGACACGGATCTGCTTAGATTTGGGTTTTTTCCTGCCCGCAGAGCCTCCCCGGCTGCCCCCTCCAGCCCATCTCAAGGGAGATGCTCACCCCGAGCGGGGAGACGCAGCTGGTGAATGAGTCTCTCCCCCAGGACACCCACCATTGATCCGGACGCCAATTTGCTTAACGGAAAGATGAAGGTGAATGGGAAGGGCAGGGCCGGCCCGGGGAAGGGTTTGTGAGCTCCCTGCCAGGATGGGAAGGGGCCACAGAGGCAAAACAGCCTCCTGGGAGCCGTTACCTGCTCCCACTGAGCTCCTCACCTGGGAAGGTCCCACTAAAGCCCAGGGTGGTGAGCTGGAGCCCCCGGACCCCTGCAGAGACGTGACACATCCCAGTCTGCAGCCAGGAGGATGCCGAGAAGAGCATCAGAGGGTTCCCCCATCCCTCACCAGCCAGATCCCATCTCGGGGTGGGTGGGATGGTTCAGGGGGCGACGCTGATTTACAGCCGGGGAGGAGCTGCTCACAGCTGGGTGTCCATCCCCTCCAACCCGTGTGCTGGGATTTGGCAGGACTCAGCCAGCGAGACCCCCATGAGGTTCCCATGTGGGGCTCGAACCAAGGGGTGACCCAAAGGAGGGGACGGAGGCTGCGGAGGGTCCCACTGCGAGGGAGGAGGTGGAACTGGGAGGATGAGAGCAGCCGAAGGGCAGACCCAGTACAGCCTCACCCAATTCTCTCTGCGAGACCTGGAGCTCAGGAGACACGAGGGGACCGTGTCCAGGCTTCGGCAGGAGGAGATGGAGAGGGGACACTGCGAGGAGGAGCAGAGCCCTGGGGACAGCAGGCAGAGAGAGGAGGTGGCAATCAGACCATACAACCAGGACACTCAGCATCTGGGTCCAGGGCTTGGACCCAGCATCCTGGGCAAGACAGGTCCTGGGAGGACCCCCAGCACTGAACTGGGGTCCAGATGCTCCTGGACCTACGATCCCCAGGTGCAGAGGTTAGACATGGACCCATCAAAGGTCCCTCTGGGACCCAGGGAGATGTGAGCCAGAGGATCTGTGTGTCCTCCAGCCCAGCAGGATGGGGAGAAGAGGGACTGAACGACCAGAGCTGGGACCCCACTCCTGCCCCCTCACACCCTGGGGGAGCCCAGTGCCCCCCAACTCACTCCCAGCCCTCCCTGCTCCATCCCCACCCCAGGGCTATAACCAGTCCATATCCCAGTCCCCACTGGTCTGACCATCCCCAGGGCACTGCTGCACCCCCCCCTGCCTACCTGCCCCTCGGGGGGGGACGGGGCAGCGTGTCCCCAGCCTCCTCCTCCTCCTCCTCCTCACACCCTGCCTTCGAGGTGGGCATGCCAGCCCCGGAAACCAGGCCAGCTTTATGGCCACCAGCAGCCCCAAACATATAAAGTTCGTGTGATAACGGGCCAGGGGAGGGATCGTAAAAGCAAATGATTTACAGGCTGGAGGTGGCTGCACCCCGGGGACGAGCCGCACCGGGCGCCCAGGTGGGAGAAAAGGGCTTTTCCCACACACACCCCTCCGGAGGGACCCCCCCACGGGTGCCGTGGGGTGGAGTGGGGTGGCGGCGAGAGGCTGATTCCAGGACCCCCGAGCACCGCCGTGCAGCCCCTTCCTCTCCAGCTCCGCCGTCCACACAACCCACGCGTGACTGACTCACACCGAGCCCCCAGCCCCACTGCGTACACCCCACGTGTGTCCAGGACCCCCACCCTCAATGCACACTCGTGCTGAAGACCCCCATCTCCTCGGCACACACTGCCCTGTCCCCACTCCACACGTGTGCCCAGGAACCCTAGTGCCATTGCACACTCAATCTGTGCACATCCAGGGACCCCCGACCCCTCAGCAAACAGCCCACGCGTGTCCAGGACCCTCACCCCCACGACACACATTGCCCACGCGTGTCCAGGGCCCCATCCCCACTGCACACATGTGCCCAGGACCACCACCCTCTCAACATGCATTGCCCACGCGTGTCCAGGACCCCTGTCCCCACTGCACACGCCTGTCCAGGACCCCCATCTTCATCGCACACTCACAACCCATTAATGTCCAGGCACCCCTGTCCCCTCGGCATTGATTGCCCATGTGTGTCCAGGACCCCCATCCCCATTGCCCACGCATGTCCAGGACCCCCTGTCCCCACTGCACACATGTGCCCAGGACAGATTCATTGCACACAATTCAGTGCCCACAGATTCATTGCACACTCACAACCCATGAACATTCAGGGACCTCTGTCCCCTCGGTATGCAATGCCCACGGACCCCAAACCCACTGCCCACGCGTGTCCAGGACCCCAAAACCCCATTGCACACGTGTGCCCAGGACCCCCCATCCTCACCGCACACGCGTGTCCAGGACCCCCATCCCCATTGCCCACGCATGTCCAGGACCCCCTGTCCCCACTGCACACGCGTGCCCAGGACCCCCGGCTTCATTGCACACTCACAACCCGCGAACGTTCAGGGACCCCTGCCCCCTCGGTACACATTGCCCACGCGTGCCCAGGACCCCCATCCCCACCGCCCACGCGTGCCCAGGACCCCCGGCTTCCCCGCGCACTCACAGCCCAGGCACATCCAGGGACCCCCATCCCCTCGGCAAACAGCCCACGCGTGTCTGTACACCCCCCCCCCTCTCGCCGCGCACACGGCGCCGTCCCGCAGCCCACGCGTGTCCCCTCCCCCCCCCCGGACTCACCCCGCCGCCGCCCCCCCCCCCCGTCCACCCGCCCCCCCGGCCCCCACCCCCC